TTAGCTATATCACTGTGTAGGCCAGGATGGAAACAAAGTGCAAAGTATCACAATGTATCCATGTGAAGACACAAAGTATTTGTCTTAAAGGAAAGGATGGTTTGAGTTTTATGACTCCTATCTGGGTAATGGGTAGACTTCATCCAAAGTACTGAAGTGGAACATTTCCTTAGCTGTCTTATTTTATTTCAGCCAAGTTGAAACACAGATAATCTAGAATTGTGAAAATGGTAAAAGTATTCTTAGTTCTGAGCTTTTAAAATAGTCAGAAAGAGATAAAGATAAAAAAAAAAAAACCTACATAAACAGATGCACATGTCCGTACTTTCTTAGCAGTTACCCCAAATGGTGCTTTGCCTTCTAGGTAGGGAGGGAGTGGAAGATTCACAACCAGGCTTTGGCACAAACTGGGCTTCATGATGCTAGCAGCCTCCCTACTCTTTCACCAAGGTAACAGTTCCCTCTGCTTTCACTTGGCAGTCTCTTCGCTTAACTTAATGTAAAAATGTTATAGTCTCTTTAATTAGTGCTTCGCCAAATAAACATTCCTTTTGAGTTCATGTTCAAGTCAGATTCTCATATTTGCTTGAGGTTTATCTGTCCTTACAGTGGCTATAAAAGGTAAGTGGCATTAAACTTAAGGTCACAAGGAAACAAACTTATTGATGATCTGGACCATGGTTCCCTAATTTCAGTAAAAGACCAGTCCAGGGAACCAACTATATAATAGTATCATTGTCTATATTTTATCCCGTCTGTATAAGTATGCCCAAAGCTCACATTTTATTTAATGACACATAATAAATAGCAATTAGGTATAACATGTTTTAATTTATACTAAATATGTAAAATGAAATGATAGTTCCCAAATCAAGCAAAAGAAATAATAAGAAACACCAGTATCAAGAGATAAGGAAATGCTATCAATAATTTCACACCAAGATTTGAACTTTGAGCTGTTACTAAACATTTTTCTTACACCTCCAGACTTGTCTGCAAGATACTAGAGCAGGATTACAGGATATACTAACAACATCTGAACTGGAGCTTACCCAATGGGGATATCTTTTCAGGTTTTGCTTTTCTCATTTCATAGTTTTTATCTGACCACAGCAACAGGTGTATGGGAAGGGAAATGTGATCCAAAAGGGCAAAGGGCACTTCCTCCTGTCTTACACTCTGGCTTGATTAGCAGTGTGATTATAGGCCTGCTGGCATGTGCGCTTGGGCAGCCCATCCCAGCTGTCCTGAAGCTTGGCTACACAGAGCTCTTTGACAGGTGTCTGGCTCAGTGCTTCCCATAATGCCCAGCCTGGACAAGCTGTCAGCAAGAGAATCCAAGGACAACATTCCCAAAGCATACTGGGGAGTGTGTTGGCTTGTACTGTAAGCTGGAAGAACAGTGGACACAGTGCCTTCCTCTATTTCACCAAGCAAAGAGGTAGATAAATACCCAATAACCCAAAAACAAATGTAAATTATAAAATATGACATGTAAAAAGAACAACAGAGACAACGGAATCTGGACTAGAAAGGTCTGAGAAGACTTTTCTGGAAAACTGACAGTGAACTTGAACACTGAAAGATAGAAACAAGAAGTCATGGAATATGGGGAAGGGAATTCCAGGCAGGGGAAACAGTACCTGAAAAGTACCTAATAGGGAAGATGTGGGGTAGAGGATCGAGCTTAGACCAAATAGAAAGATAGGTCATGATGAGAGTGGTATGAGGAGGGTGGTAACAGAAAGGCTTGTGACAAATTACAGTAAGGAATTTAGATTTATATGAAGTAAAAGGTGACACCAACCAGAGTGTTACATTCCAGTGTATTCTATTTAAATCTAAGAGATTTCTATGATCTAATTTTTATTTTTTTTTCCAAATTATTATGGCTACTGTGAAGAGAATGGATTGAAGGGATAAAAGTCAAAAAAGGGATTAGGAAGAGATTTTTGAAGAGAATGCTACTCACAAAGATGCAGAGACATTAAAGTGATTAAGAAGTACTTTGGTAGTCAGGTGATGGAGAAAGAAGTGTCCAGGTTTCTACCTGAACAGACAGATGGGCAGAAATGAAATCTTCTGGACTGGGAAAACTGGAGGATGATGGAGTGGACAGTGTTGTTGGGAAAGGCAAAGAGAAGGATAAGATCAAGAGCTCAGTAATGGACATGTCCAGTTGGAAGCACCTATGAAATATCTGAGTGAAGATGTCAGGTGGGTTACAGCATGTGAGTCAGAAATTCAGAAAAGGGTTGTAGGTATACATATGATAGTATGATAGTCACCACCATATGCAAGTTATGTGAAGCCCTGGGTATTGAAAAAAACATGAGAATATAAGAGAACTGTGTTCAGATCAGAGATAAATATTAGAGAGACAAAAATGAAGAAAGAAAATAAGAAGAGCATGATCAATAGGGGCAAAGGTGAGGGACAAGTGAGGAAGAACCAGAGCAAAGAAAAGTGTCCTTTGTGTTGAATGCTGTTCAGGAATGTGATCACAAGACACCAAAAAGCACCCTGTGAACTAGAAGGCATGAGGTTCTTAGGAATCTTAAAAGGAGAAAACTGATGGAGTAGTAGAGTCTAAGCCAACTGGAATGGAGAAAAAGGTTAATTTGGAAATGAAGTGACACAGTACATTGATAAAATGGTTTGAAAAGTATGATGAAGACAAGAGAAATAAAGGAGTAGCTTTCTAAAATGATAATAGTTTTAAAAATAATACTGGTGGTATGCTGACAGTAAAGATCCAGTAAATTGGCAGGGTTTGAACAGAAGGGCAGAAGACTTGAGAAGATGGGATGGGATGACAGTATGTATATCCACAACCACTGGTCTTTGATGAGAGGAGAAGCTTTCTGAGTTGCAAGAAGACTGGATGCATCCAATTGCTCACTGAAGCAGATGGTAAGGTCATATCTGAATCAGTAGGAGGCAAATGGACCAGAGATTTGAACAGAGTGTAAGTATGAAATAGCTGCATCATAAATGGCACAGCAAGTTTATTTGAGAAACGTAACAATGCTGCTGAGCAGTGTTGGATCTGTATTTAAGTTTGCTTGTCAAGAATATGTAGTCACATCATTTAGCCCAGTCTTTGTTTCTACCCCTCTCATCTTCTGCTGGGGTTCCTCACCCAAAGCCAGTTTTCTGACATTTTTCACTCCATGTGATGACAGACAATAATTCCACCTGTCAAGATTAACTAATCCTCTAGATGCATGATCTGGTCCTAAACTTCTAGCCCCTGCAATCCCTTTTCCTTGCATAGACTCTCAAAACAATAATAGAAGTGATGGAGATGGCTTCCTTGCTTGTTTCTGCCCATCTTCTTGGAGTTCCAATTTTCCCTTAGGTCTGGAGAACATAGCACAGCTTTCCCTGGGAAGTCAAATTTAGCATTTTGTTCAGCTTGCTTCACTTTTGTGCAGAATCTGATGTGAATGACAGACAAGCAGAATTTGTAGACTGTACCATAGTAAGATGTACAAAGACAGCTACAGGGGTGAATAAGACAGAGGATTCACAGGGAACATTGTACCTAACTCCTGTGTTCTACAAGCTTTCTCTTATTTCAGACAAAATTACTACAGTATTGCTTAATTAGCACTTACTTAATATTAAAATACTAATTAAGTACCAAAACAAGACATCTGATACCTCCAACAAAAGCTCCTAGCTATACCAATGAAGAGTCTTTGAAAAACATAAGCCATTAACAATCCTCCTCCACTTCAGAATTAAACCTTCAATTCTCTGAATTGCTTGTGAGCTTCTACAGAAAAAATATACCCCTTCCTGAAATGGATTCTTTACTATTTCAAAGGATGGAAATAAAATGAACATACATAAAGTTTAATATGAAAAATTGTGTGGTTTAATTTTGACACATAAGCAACCAAGAAAAAGAAGTGTAAGTTATAATTTGATTTTCATTTCTGATGATATCATTTTGAGCTCATTCTTTGGCACCAAGATCAAATGCCTTTATTTACAGGTCTCAAACAAATATCAGCCTAAAAAGGAAGTCCCATCCAGCATAAATTCCACATATGACCACTAGAACTTTCTCAAACTGAAACATTTTTCTTTTTCTCAGCTTAGTAGAGAACAGGATGGGAAGCAAAGAATGTATTCAAGCTCATTTGCTTTTTGTTTTCCCAAATTGGAATTTTAGTTTTAATTCTAGTCTGTATGATTTTTAATTTTATCTTTAAATGTAGTTCAGCTGTAACTAAATTATAATGGAAAAAGAATATAAAGTATTTCTCAGAGGGGGCAAACTCACAAGCAAACAAACCAACACCCTGAGTTCTAAACTCTGCAACTAATTTTCCATACTTTCCCTGGTAGACACAGCATCAGTTAACATTCAGGTGTGGCCTGAAATGTATAACAAGACCTCATCCAAGTCAAGTGTCACCTGTGGCTCTTGGTTTTCACTTGGCAGTGTGTGGGAACCTCTGAAAACTTCAACACATTTTTCGAAGAGCAGGGCGCTTGCATTGGAGGCAGCAGCAAGGCAAGGCTGGTGAGATGAATGGGTACCATTCATTTTTGTAATAAAGAGAAAAATAAAAAGAAATGAGGCAGCACCATTTGAACATGCCTTAGCCAACCTGCAGGGCACCAATGCTGAGGAAGTTCAGTATTCTCAAAAAAGGAAAAAAAAACCAACAAAACTTAAAAAAAAAAACAGTGGAATTAGAAAAGCAGAAAGACTGACAGGGTGGGGAAGCAACTCATTCATCTCAAATAGGACAAACTGTCGAGAAATAACAGCTCTTAGCATCCTCTACTAAATCCCTGTTAGTTCTTTGTGACAACACATAATCCTAGGACTTTTCTTTAGTGATACTTTCTCCAGGAGCATGACACATAAAACCAAAAGTATGATAATTTCATTTAACACTTAAATTCAAACAATTGGGACACCACAGTTTTACTCATAAAAATCACATTTATATATATATATATATATTTTTTTTTTTTACCTTGGTCTTTTCACCAACAATGTTCTTTTCCAGTTCTGCTATTTTCCTGTTAAGATGATCCAAAATCTCCTTCTCCTTCATAAGTTCAGTTGTCTCAGATTGCTGCTCTCCATCCAAAAGAGCACATTCCATATCCAACTAAGGACACAAAACAAATCTCAGAAGCATTTCCCCTTCAAGAACATTTCAACTGCCCCGATAGAAGTACATGTTTAACAGTTAAAACTTTCAAAAAATCCTACTGAATCAGACAGATCGTAGGACGTCCAGAGCAGTCCAGAAAGCCTGTGTGAGACTCAAGACTCCTGTCGAAGAAAGCTGGAGAGTCCAGAATGTGTTGTTTGCTAAGGAAACTATTTATCTTATTACTTAACTTTTCTACTACAACCCCTTTTTCTGCTTAGTTCTCAAAGATATTTTGCCCATTTGCTTAGATTCAAGCACAAGCACAAACTACACTGTGAGCAGCCATGCCTTTCTTTGTCCTTTGTTTGAGTGAAAGTTATCCCAGCCCAGCACATGAGTTCTGCATTCTTAGCAATGCCAGCAGGAGGGGTTTCCAGGGTCTGTGCACAAGATGACAGGTGAACAGTCCCCTAGCCACCTACTGGACTATTGGCACCATCTGTGAGTATAGACATGTAGATTCCCGCTAGTCTGAATACATGCTGCCTCTCACTTTCATGGAGGTAACATAAAAACTGTAATTATCTTGTATTATAGTTATTGAATATGTTTCTGCTGTTTTGCAAATTGCTAGGATGCTGGGTTTCTGTTTAATTCATGCATGAACACCTCCACAGTGCCAACAGAATATCCAACTCAGAGTATGCATTCCCAGAAAATGTTCCTTGGGTTTGAGCTAATCGAACCTGTGATCAGAAAGAATATATAGGGTTAGTAAAAACAAATTTGTCTACACATAAAGCACATTAAAGATGGCCTCAGATGTTTATCTCATCTGACTAAAAAAAAGGACAAAAAGAAAGTAAAACAGGGTATTTTCACTCTACACGTGGTACCCATTGAGTAAATGTTTTTCTGTGTTGACCTCTATGTATTTGGCCCCCAAGACTTGTGCCCTAATGATCAGAAATATCCTTAAGCTAAACGGAAAATTGAAAGGATGAGGGAAAAAGTGAACACATGTTTTACCTCTCTGGAAGATTCATCCATCTGGTCATTTATATCTTTGATTTTTTGTTCAAGCTCCTCAAGGTTGTTCAGAATTATTATCCATGAGTCTTCCATTGCGGCCAACTCCTGAGTCCTCTGTTCTTCACTTATATCCTCGGGGGTCTGCAACACAGAAATGGGTATTGATAGTTCCGTTCTAGAATGTCTCCATTTGACTTAGAAGCTAGCTTCAGGCTGGTGATTCACAGTGTCCACGTCCATGACAATGCAAAAAGCATCCCTGTGGCTGTTTGGTGAAACAATGGTGCATTTGCCACACACTCTTAGCAGCTATGGTCTAGCAAAGCTCAAATAAACCAATCTCAGTTCACAAGTTCAAATCCTATTAAAGCTAAAAGCACTACGAGGTTAAGAGGACGCTGTGCTATATACAGACTGAATAACTTCTTTGTTAAAAAAGGTTATAGAATTCATAATGCAGGGTACTAAAATGGTGACAGGATTTTTGACATCTTCCTCCATGGACCTCCTAGGCATGCTGCTACCTTCATCGCAAGTTCCACAAAGCTCTACAAAAGCCTCTTGAATCTCTAGCCAGACAGTTGGACCTCCCTGCTAAGGCTACCTGCAAATGAGCATTCATGTTTGTATAATTTGTTTTCAATACAAGGTGGAAAAACAAGAGAACATCACATTCATAATGACCCCCCAAATAATTTAAAACTGTGTATTCAATATTACTAGTTTTTTACTTTTTGTGTGAGTTGTACTATTTACTGTCTGTCCTATAGAAGTTCTTCCTATATGATGTTTCAGACACTGACAGGGCAAGTGGGCTTTGTGACTGAAAATAAGACACTGTTCACCATTTGTTTCATGGAAAGCCCAAGTTCTTGGCAATGAATGAGAAAGTAAACAAACAGATTAAGTGGCAGAGGATATACTTGTAGTCTTAAACATTTGATAACAAATGCTCATGGAAGAAAGGAACACTGTAGATCATGCACACAGCCCAAATATGACTGCAAATTGTTTTAAAACAGTATGTAGTAAATGGAAAATAGGCTCTTTACTCTAGAATTTCAGGTTAGCTACCTTGTGTATAATCTGGTAGAGACTAGACTTTCTCTAAGGCAAGAGATGCCAATACTGGCATAGTATTTATTTAATTTTTATCTGTCTTTGAGAAAGAAGTGAATTTTGATGAGTGAATAATAATTGTCTAAATAATTAGCCAATTCTACAATTTAAAATTGAAAATGGCTGCCCACTTAAGCAAATTACTAAAGATTATCCACTAATAGCTAAAAAGAATATTCAGGTTACCCCCGCCAAAAAAAATTGAAATTTAGTAAACCTCACTAGATTCGTTTAATTTATTTATCAATTCTGATAATAACTTTAAGAAAATATCATGTCATATTCAGTATTGTTTATTCATATTCTTTATCCTGCTTTACAGGTTCTTATGGAGATTAAATGATTGAGAATTCAGTCCGTCAAGTTGGTTCCAACAAAGGTATGTAGGTCTTGCAAGCAATGACATTTAGTTTTTTAATTGTCATCTTAAATCCAATATCTTCCCAAGTAATAAAACAACTGCTGACCTTTCTATCACAAACAATGATGGTCATTGTCTTAATACTCAGGCACTTGTTTTAAGCCAGGAAGAATGGCTACAACCGTGAATGGCATTCCAAATCACTGACCAGTAACCCCAGCAGGAAAGGCTCTCGAAGGCCAGTATCCTGTTGGTCAACATTACTTAGGTTTCTACTTCCAACATGATCTAAAAATATCTCACTGGTGGAAGCAAAGCATTAAGAAAAGCAACAATTACTGAACAATCTGAAAAGCTGTCAACTTTATAGGTAAGAAAGAGGTAAAGATCTGCAAAACTCAATTAGAAAGTTTATCACAATAGCTAAGAGGCTGTGCATAGCAATAAATGCTTGTGAGTTTTTGTTATATATATGAAGGAAAAGCTTCAAGAGGCATTCCAAAAACTGAATATTTTGCATAAAATGACAGAAAGGGGTGATAAATATTATAATCTCATTAATTAGTCAACTAAAGAAAACCAATAGGAAGTGAAAGAGTGGCAACCACTAAATAGCTTTGGTTTCATGGTGACAGAGAAAGTGAAATTTTGAACATAAAGCCCTTCATTTTAATACCCCTGAGACTTTTTTTTTATAGTAATGGCTAGAAGTCCACTGATAGAGCGGCATGTTTCAATAAGCACATTAAACATGTATGTGCATCCTCAAATATGCAGTCTTTGAAGTAACTTGATCCACAAAGAGAAAGAGGAGAGAAGTTAGGGACAAAACATTTTGCGTCCGCCTCTCCCTTCATCTCCCCTATCCCCCCCTTTTTTAGCTCTCTTCTTCCAGCCATCTTGCAACCAAAGAAAAGGGTGCAGGGCTTTTCACTGTAGAGGGAGCTACCCTTTAGGTTCACAAAAGCTGATTAAAATTAGCATACTCCCAAGGTTGTGTGCATCTTTAAGTGTTGGGTAAACAAGTTCCAGACTAGTAAATCTCAGGTTTCCAAAACATCACTAAAATCTTTGTTAGTAAAATAAATTTTAGAGTGTTCTTCACATTCCTCTCTCCCCCACTTATCCCCAAATTGACTAATCACAAATATTATACTTTGTTAAGTAAATAATCCAGTGGGAGAAGAAAAGCATACAAAACAAATGGTCAGGAGATCTTTGTTTGAGCCTTTTATCTCTTCTTGAGTTAATGTATGCCTGTCTTTGAAAAGTACTAAGTGAAAACTTTTATTCCTTAGAACTCTTCACCCTCTCATTTGAACTCTAAACTGCTGCGTGGTAACCGGAGGCACCCTTGATGTTTCCTGGGACTAAATGGTGCACAAACTGTGTTTCCTGTGACAATGGATGCTGCTCTAAGCTTCAGAGGCCTCCTATTCTACATCTGCCAGGATCTGCTTGTTTAGACAGCAACAGCTTTCTTGTCCAAAGCCTTCTCCAAGAGGAAATCAGACTCCCAAAAGATAGTCTTGAGAGACAGCACATAGCTCAATGTTTTTAACAAATGGAAGACCTCCATAAAGGAAAAAAATGTGAAAAAATTAAGATCGAAATGAAGTCACAGATTTCTAAGAAAGTCCAAAGGCTGATGAAAATATCACAAATTTTCAAATGGGTCATTTACTTTTCCTGAGTACTGGAAAACTTTTGATTCCTCCCAGTTCTCCTCCTTCACATCCTAATTTCTAAACACTTTAAACTTTCTAGCAGTAGAGATATGTCCTATTCAGAATTTCTCTCCACCGAGAGCTAGCAAGGTGAATAAAGCCATTAGAAGAAAGAAGTGACCCATAGACAACACTTATTTATTAGTGCAGAGTTCCAGTGTGTGTGATGGAAAATCTCAGTAAAATAAGGACATCTGACTAGGAAAAAACAAAGGCACAAACTCCCTGAAAAAATGCTATGTGTAATAAATTATTGCCAGAATTTAGCACAGTGTTTTTTCTCAGAATCAGTATGTGTCTTTCTTTTATAATGAAAATTAACTAATGTATTTTTTTATTGTTGTTATTATTCTGTGGTCATAATTGCCAAGAATCTCAGAGTTGAACTCAAGGTAATAATTACTTAAATTAATTAATAAATCCTATTTATTCTTAAATAAATAAATTCACCTTATAATTGTGGTACCAGCTTTTTCCTCTTATTTTGGCATTTTAATTTTAATGTAATAAAATTTATATCTTTTATTGCAAGTGCCTTCAAATCCTTTGTAGAAAAGACATGGGAATTTTTTTTTTCCATAGGATAAAATTCTTAACCTGTGTGGAAAAATAACATCAAAAGAATGTCCTTGAACCCATTTAAGAAATTCTCAAATTTGAAAGACATTGTTAAACCAACACACAACTAGAAGACTAAGTAAAACTTGTACCTATAAATAAATATTAAATTCTCATATGCCCAAAAAATACCATCAATAAAGTAACTGAAAGGACACCTCATGATAAAAGATCAATTTGCTTACAACTCTTACGACTCAGTAAAACACAAGGCAAATAAATCATTTTTTAAAAAATGGGTCAAAAATTACAAGTAATATTTAAAGATGTGAAAAGATGCCCTATTTTTATGCATGATTAAAGACAAATTTAAAACACCTGTCAGCTTGGCAAATTGAATTTATTTTTTAAGTACTGGGGCTTGAATTTAAGGCTTTGCGCTTGGTCTGCAGGTTCTCTACCATTTGAGTCATTCTCCAGCACATTAAAAGTTTGTGACAACATGCAGCCTTGGTAGGTGCATGAACAAAGTTGTGCTCACAAACTATTGTGAAAGTGTCATATGGAAATCCAGGCTTCAGAGCCAACATAATTTGGATATATTGATTCAAATGAATAATATACAAAGTTTTTAACCTAGCAATTCCACTTTTAGTAAGTAAGCCTACAGATACATTTGCACAAGTGTGAAAAAATGTATCATAAAATAATGGCTGCATATGGATTTCATCTACAAAAAACTAGAAACAACTTGCATGGTACTTCCAAACAACAGAATTCTGGTCTGTGTTTAGAAGGACAGGTAGATCTGTGTGTGGTTCCCAAGACACTTTGTGTGTGTGTGTGTGTATTGCATGCATATGTTTCTGTGCACAGAAAGGATTAGGATTAGGCAGGTAAGACACTTAACTGTTTATGTTTACTTCTCAATTGTACAGCTGGGTGGGAGGCAGAGAGAAGAGAAAGTTTCTGCTGTTTGATACTTCTCTTTTTTCAGTGCAAGTTTGTTTCTTTATAGTAAACACAGTAATTTGCTGCACTTTGGTCTGCTAATTGCAGCTTCACTGAAAACATTCAGAAAAATTACCATGATAAAATCTCTAGTCAAAGCACATGCAGAGCCCTGGGTCAGATGGAAATCCTTTTCTTTGCTCCTCAGTATTACCTTTGGTAGGATGCTTAAATAAGAGGACTCGCTGGATGCCTTCAGAAAGGTGGAAGGGTGCTGTAGGGGGTTCCTGGAAAGGTCACGGAGCGGTTCATCATTCCTAATGCTCCTGGAGGTGAGGAAGCTGGCACTGCCGGGACTGAGGCTTCCGAAGCCTGCCAAGTCGACATCATGCAGAGAGCTCTTCCGGTGGCACCTGTATCTTGTGTCAGGGCACACCAGCGCATCTTCAAACACTGATTCCTCATCAGAGAGCTGCAGTTTCTCAAGCTCCTTGTTGATTTTCTGCACATCTGCCACTGTGGTGCCTGTCGACAAGCAGCTGTCAGGCTTTGTGTACTCAGCACAGAGACTGAGGATGGTCTCCAGGCGCTGTCTCTCCTAGAGCACAGAGAGGGCAAGGTCAGAGAGTATGAGAATGGAGACACCAAATAAATAGCAGGACTGAAGAGACTAGTGATCTCATTCCGTGGATCAACCACAGATACTTGGCTGCTGAGGATTTCCCACCATTTTGGGGGAGGAGATGGAGAACAGAGTGTCACTCTATGACCTAGGCTGGCCTCAAACTCAAGATCCTCCTGCCTCAACTTCCCTAGTGCTGAAATCACAGGCCTGGACCACCATGCCAGGCTACCATCATCTTTTATGGATGCATTTTAAGGGTCCAGATGAAACTGTTCGCAATGTCTGATTTTCTTCCACTCAATTCTGGTGGTCCTGTTTTCTGTATATCCCAAGTTCGCCTAACACATTGCGGCATTCAGTAGGACTTTTCTTGATTTATCAAGTTGCAAACACTTCAAAGACTTGTAAACCTCCATTTCTTATCCATCCTTTCCCCTACCTTCTACTTACCTACCTTCAACATCCAGCTCTTTCATCACTACAGACTTGACACATGTGCTTAAAGTTAATTCAGTAATTTCCTAAAAAAATATTATTCTGTTTTTTGACACAAAGAGAAAAAAGGTACTTAAATGTCTTTTCATTTAAAAGGCAATATCTATGTCTTTCTTTCTTTCTTTCTTTCTTTCATTTTTTTCTTAAAAGTATTTCAAACTTTTCAAAACTTTTTATGCCTGGTCATCATATACAGGTCTTTATCATGAGTTTCTCATATGAATAATTAAAATTATTTTTAAAAAGTACAAATGTTGCACTAAAATAAAAAAACACTTCCTGTGGTCTGGTGAAGTGGCTCAAGTGGTAGAGCACCTGCCTAGCAAGTGGGAGGCTCTGAGTTCAAACCCCAGTACCGTCAAAAAACAAAAAAATAGTAGTAGAAAGACATTAATGTAGCTCAAAATTTGAGAGCATTAATTTGAGACCATTTGACTCATTTAGCTAGAAAGTAAAATGATAGTTCACTTGCTGAAAAAAAATCAATATATGAGCCATTGATGTCTAATGTTTCCATAACTGACTCCGCATCAGACTCCCCGTGCAAAGCATGAAGACATTTATAATTTTAACTTAAGTAAATTAATAACATATCTGTGAACAACAGGAAGTAATTTACAAACTATTTCTCATGAGCCTAGTCAGTATTGTTTGGGGTGGGGAACCTCAACATCTTTATCCTTCCTGTTAATTCCAATGTTAAAGTGAAAAAAGAACCAAAATAAAGACCATCTGTTGTGATTCCACTTACCACATTGAAGAGACTTCAAAAGCCCTCCACAGAAAAAATACTTTCTAAACTGCTGATCAGTAATAAGATAGGAAGAGATTAAGCAGCACTGGATTGTTTTCATTGCAGTTGCACCAATATGTAAAGCCAAAATTCAGTGAGTTCTTTTATTAGTTGAGATAGTAACAAGCAGAAAAGTCAAATACTAACAGACTAATATAATTTCCTTGTTTCTGTGAAATACTTTAATTAAACAAGTTAGAAGTCACTTAAGGTAGATCTGACATTCTGCCCTGTAAAGTACTCCCTCCCCCAATAGGAACAATGACATGATGAAAAAGTCCACTGAAGTAGCTCCCAACTCCCACCTCCCTTTCACTGGCTGAACTTCTGGGCTCCAGCTGCAGCTCAGTCCTCATGGCTTCTTCCAGGGTGGGCACTCATAGCTCTGCAGCCTTGGCCCCAGGCTCTTCTGCAACCTTCCATCCACAGGAACCCTGGTGCTTATTTATCTCTGCAGCTGTCACCAGCTGCCAAGCCCTACCCACCTCGGCTTTATAAGGAGGGAGTAGGGGATGCAGCCTTCATTACCTTATTTTGAACTTCTCCAACAATAAAGGAAAGTCTACATGGGAATTTACAAAAGCAACCTACAAGGTATAAAATTTATTTTACCCTTTCTTCCAGCATCTGTATTAGAGGCTAATCTTCAATTTGAGATCTCTCATCTCTTTCTGCTATTTAGGTAATTAAGTTGAAACATCTAAACTCAGTCTTAACAATCTTTTGGATTATAATATGCAGACATCAGCCTTGACATTAATTACATTTGGAATTATCTGAAAATTATCAATTTTCATTTATCAAGGCTCCTATGAGATCGTTTCAAAAGAATGAAAGGTACTTCTGCCTAGACTGGAATACATAGCGAAATTCCTCCCACATCTCTTTCCCAAAATAGTTTCTTTTGCTGCCAGTGCTATTGCTTAATTCCAGAGAGAATAAATGACCCAGCCTTAAGATGAATGCTATTTCAGGCATTGAAATGCAGTATTCAAAGGCGTGCTCACAGGAAGTTTGGTCTACTGGTGTGTGTCTCTCTCTATTCTTAACACCCCATTCACAGCCAATTTGTCCAAGCTTGATTCACACATGCATGCAGCACTCCTGCCCACCAGCCTCAAAGAAATGCAGGCTGTGTCAAGACACACTGACCCCATATAAGCGACAACAAAGAAAAATAAACTTATATGGAGAACTACATCAGAAGAAAGTCTGCAAGGCATTTCAGGAAGCACTCAAGAGGCCTTTTTAAGGAAAGCTCTGAATGGAAATTTACTTTACTAGATCATTCTCCCTTTCAGCCCTCTTCATTCTGCTGTCTGGTTTCTTCTTAGCATCATGCCAGTATCCTCCAGTTCTATATGATCCAAAGTCAGGGCACCCTTTCCAAGCCAGAACTCTGAGAATCAAAGAGGGCACTCTTAATAATCATGCCAGAATATCAAGGGCAAACTGGATTGGTCCTGGCACTGAGATGCTCAGCCCCTATCACTCCTAAAACTCAATTTTCTTTCAAGCTTTGCCTGACAACTTACAAGGCCAAGGAGCGGCCCTCTTTATTTTTATTTTTTTAATTTATTTGTCCAATTATTTATTTTCGTAGTACTGAGGATGGAACTCAGTGCCTCAAGCTTGCTAAACAAGTGCTCTATCCCTTAATCCTTTAGCTTTTAGTTTATTTTTCAGATAGGGTCTCCTGATTTTTTTCTATTCCAGTTTTGGACAGAGATCCTGTACTTGCACCTCCTGAGTAGCTAAGATTAGAAGTGTGCACCACCAAACCTGGCTTATTTTTGAGATAAGATCTCAATAACTTTTGTTAGTCAAAACAAAAGATTGTCAAACCACAATCTTCCTGTCTCTGTCTCTTGAGCAGCTGAGATTATAGGCAACAATTTTTAACAATGTAAACTAAAACACCAAGATTTCATTTCAAATTTGTTTGCTGACATTTAATAAAGGCAAGCAGCACCAAGCATGGAAGATGTAAATAAATTGGTACCATGGTTTTTTTTATTTCCATCAGTACATTAATAGATGAGATGTGGCACATACAGTAGAATATCTTGCACAAGAGATTTCATTAGCAAATCTTATCCAAATGAATCATCACTTGCACATGAAGTGAGTGAAATCAAGTAGTAGAAGGATATGAGCACTAAGATACTACTGATTTTAATTAAAAGTAAATTTTAAATAAGAGACTTATCAAGGTATATAAATTCTATTTATCTAATATTCACACATTCATTTAAGTGAATATATGTACATGTATAGTGTAGTTTGATGATCATATACATTGATAGCAAATGTTTAGAATATTGTTCAGAAGAATATATATCAACATCAGAATACTGGTTACCTCTACCCCTGGGTGCAGAGGAAGGAGGAATGACAATGTGAAGGAAAATGGCCTTCAATGGTGAATGCTATGATCTATGTCCTCAGTTACACTGACCTTGTTACTAAACTCTTCTTCTTTTTTTTTTTCATTTATTCACATGTACATACATTGTTTGGGTCATTTCTCCACCTTGCTCCCCTCCCCCCTCAGTTCCAGGCAGGTCCTGTTCTGCCCTTATCACTAATTTTGTTGAAGAAATGACATAAGCATAATAAGGAAGACAAAGCATTTTTGCTAGTTGAGTTAAGCATAGAGCTGCCTTCTTTATAATCCCCAAATCTTACCCAGTTTTCCAAATCAGTAACCTACCATTCATTTTCTTAAAAAGCTCACCAGTCTGGAGGCTATTTACCTAAATGGCCCAAAACACTGGTTCTAGGATTTAGAAAGTAAGTCACTTTGAATTAATTATTTAAAATGTTTTTCTCCTTCCTTCCCATTTCCCCTTTCTTCATCTTAATATTCTACAAATATCAAAGGAGGCTTTAAAGGGGATGTAAGATCTTAGAAAAATACCTGGGAAATTGGGTGCATAATTTTTCCCCTTAGAGGTTGGTTTAAAAAAAAAGGAAAGAAAGAGAGAGAAGGAGAAAAGAAAGAAGGAAGAAAGGAAGAAAGAAAAGGAGTTCAGAATAGATTTTTTTTGACCTCAGAGTTTTCTTTCTTCTTTAGAGCAATGTATTGACATTGCCCTACCTCAGCTTCACACTCTTACATGGGAGGCGTGGTGGGGATAACATCGGACTCCTAAATCCATCCAGTCCCCACGTAACCAACATCAGCTGGTCTAGACCTTATGACTGCAAATGTCTTGCATAATTAAGTTATGCAGAAAGCCACCTGGTTACATATGATTCCATTGAAAAAGAGGTTGTCTCGTCTTTTTAAAAGACCTATTGTGACTTTTAAATATGACTTTACTTCTCTTTTCTTTTAACCCTAAGGATTCAATGTCTCCATAAACTTCAGTTCCACAAATTTCTATTAAATTATCACTGCCTAATATTGTACTAGGGATATCTAGATGAAAATGTGCAGCATTTCTACCTTCAAATCTTTAACAGATGACATAAATAAGTGATTCACTTCAGAAACAGTGATTACACAGGTTTACAGAAAACCAAAGAATTCACATATGGGGAAGCAATGCATAAAAATTACAGAAGAGAAATTTGACTTCTCACATGTAAATAATGAGTCTGTGTAGTGTATTGGGACAGTGGGTGGACAGAGCATTTCTGTGAAAGATCCACAGCAAGGGTACAGAACTGAAAAATATCA